ATGGCTTATCTGCCAGCCACCTTTTTTTGTACAGCCTATAAGGTAAGAATGTCTTTTACAGTTTTAAAATTTTTAAATGAATAACAAAATAACATTTTATGATATATGGATATTATATAAAAGTGAAGTTTCAGTGTCCATAAACAAACTTGAATTGGTACACAGCCTCACTCTATGTTTATGTATTGCCAGTGGCTGCTTTTATGCTCTGAGAAAATAGTTAAGTAATTGTGACAGAAATCATATGGGGCAATCTCATTGCTTTATTGTGCTTCTCAATGTACCACAAATTGCAATGATGCACTTACAATAATTTGACAACATTTTGAGTGATATGCATATTGTCATACCATGACATTTTATTCTTTCATAACCAGTGCATGCCAATCATGTCAAAACAAGAAAGGGAAAAAAAAAAGATAAATCTGGACTTAGTGCTTTTAAAGCAGAGTGGAGTGTGGATTATTTTGTTATCAAATTTGATGGCAAAGCACTGTTTTTATTATACAATGATACTATAACTGTGCAACAAAACATGTCAAATTTACCAGACTAAATACTCATTACATTATTTCTAAGAAAACAGCAGCCAGAAAATTTGGGAAAATTTAAAGGAATATCTCAAATTATATCACAACAAAATTTCTTCACAAAATAAAAAATGGAAGTGATTCTGCAACCAAAATAAATTTCTTAGTAGCTCATTTATTTGTAAAGCAAGGAAAGCCATTCACTGATAGTAAGTTAATTAAATCATGCTTTTATCCAGGAAAAAAAATAAACTGACTTAAGACTATTAGTCTTTAAACAAAAATGGTTGCTCAAAGAGTTGAGGACATAGGATCAGTACAATAATTATAAAATAAGGCAGGTGACTATGAGATTTTCTTGGTTAGAGATGAGTCAACAGAAGTTACTGCTCAGTTGTGTTTTATTTGAGGAACAAATTCTGAATTTAAAGTAACTAAAAAATTAGCCCCAGTAAATAGTCTTTTAAAACAACTATGGGCAAGAATATTTTCAAAGATATTAAGAAAACACTAATGTAATACAACCTTAAGTGAAACATACTAAGATGTGATATAACGGTGGTAAAAATATATATGAATCAGAAAGACAAATTTACAAAGTTTATGAAAATATATGGTTATTAATTTTTTATTCATCAGCAGACACTTTGAAGAAAATATTAGAACCTATTTTATGTGTTTTTAAAAAATCTTTATTGAAATATAATTTACATACCCTGCAATTCACCCATTTAAAGTACACAATTCAGTGTGCTTTATAATTTTTAAATTTTTGCATATTCATAGAATTTTCAAGTATCACTACAATCCAATTATTTCAACACTTTTCCCTTCTAAAAGAAACTTTATATGCATTACCCCTCCCTACCTATTCCCGAACCCTAAGAAACCACTAATCTACTTTCTGTCTCTACAAATTTGACTATTCTTTTTCAAGATTGTTTTGGCCACTCTAAGTCTCTGAGTCTCTTGCATTTCCATATAAAGTTTAAAGGATAAGCATATAGTTCAGTGGTAGAGTACTTACCTAGCACATGTGAAGTCCTAGATTCAATCTCTAGCACCACAAAAAAGAAAGAACATTTAAGATCACTTTGGTATTTTCTGAAAATATCATGTATTTTTGATCCATTAGATTTAATAGTGAACATCATGCTTCTGAACTCAACCATTATTAGCTCCTTGAATATTTTCATAAACAAAAGTTGGAAAGTGCGGGAGTGTAGCTCAGTGATAGAGCATGCACTTAACATGTATGAGGTCCTGGGTTCAGTCCCCCAGTCCCTCCCCCTCAATTTGAATAGACATAGAAAAATACTCTCACTTTCCCTACTACATATCATTTCAATGGCTTAATAGTGACAGAGTCTTTATTGCATGTATTTGAGTTCAGGGCAAAGACTAAAATTTTTGAGAATGAGAACTGCCCTTGGTCACTCATGGAACACTAAATTACTTTGAAAATTAACTTTTGTTATAGACTTGATAATGTTTCTTAAATGAATTTATTAAGAAATTATAATCAAAATTGCATGACAAAACACTTATATGCAAAGTGTATACTGAGGTTAATTCATTTCAGTAACAATTTGTGTCTCAAAAATGTCAAACTGGGCTGGGGTTGTGGCTCAGTGGTACCAGCACTTGCCTAGCATGTATGAGGCCTTGGGTTCGATCCTCAGCACCACATAAATATAAATAAATAAAGGTATTGTGTCCATCTACAACTAAAAAAAAATATTTTAAAAAAATGTCAAACTGCCTTATACACTTCTCCTATTGCCAAAGTTAAAAGAAGAAAGCTTTATTCTCTCTTATATTTGCAATTGATATATTTTCAAGTTCAAATTATAGTTCCAGCACTGTCTTTCAAACTTCAAAGCAAATGCAAAGAAAATTTCTATATTTCAAGTCATTTTACTAAGTAATTAAGGAGCTTCCCTCTAACTTTTAATTAGAAGTATTAATCTGTAAGATAATGATACTGAAAGGCATATATCAAGAGAAGAATTTAAAAGAGTTTTATAATGGTCTTCTAAGAGATAAATATGTTCACTTAAAATTTTAAACTCATATCGAGAAGTAACGATCTCCTGGTAATGGTTTTAAAATATTGCAAATACATTTTTAAAAAATCATTGAATACACACTTTTAAATGGTTAAGAGGGTGAATTTTATTTATGTAAATTTTATCTCAATTAACAAAATTGTAAGCTCATATATTAATATCAACATATTCCAGAACCTATCAGTGTGGATAACATCTTCAAAAATGAAATATGCAAAAGCTCATTACAGGTCAGCCTTAAAAGATGAGCATTTACAATTGATTTTGATGATAGCAAAACAATTTGGAACCCAAATTAAGCAAAATGTTATTTTTTAAAATTCCGCTTTTTTATATATTTATTTTTTAGTTGTAGTTGAACACAATATCTTTATTTCACTTATTTATTTTTGTGTGGTGCTGAGGATCGAACCCAGTGCCCGGCATGCCAGGCGAGCGCACTACTACTTGAGCCACATCCCCAGCCCCTAAAACTCTGCTCTTTACATTAGTAAATTTGTCTTATAAAAAAGTCCTATTCAATTATTACATTTTGAATTTTGTGAAAATTTATTTCCTCTCTTGTATAAACTGATATGTTATATTCATATTTGTCCCTTGGCTTGCAATGCCCACAATATTTATTATGTAAGTCCTTTACAGATATAGTTTGTCAACTAATTATATTTACTGGGAAGAAAGTTTGCATCTATGGAATGCTTTTAACAGTATATCCTTGGTTTAGGATTGCTGGTGGCAATTAGGCTTTCAAATACATTAATAGTATAGAATCAGTATGGAATTTGGATTTATCCCTCCCTCTAGAATGTCATGCAAGCTATTCAACTTTGAAATATAAAATGAATATATGCTATGACTTCAGCACTCCCCATTGTATGAGGTGACCCTCATTGAAGTCTCACTAAGTAGTCTGGACCACAGAGTTCATGCATGATATGAGAAGGAAGAACTCGATGTACTAGACCTCTACAGCAGGATGTACTAGACCTCTCCCTACTTTACCTGTATGTGTTTATTGCTTATAACTTTGAAATTATTAGTAAAGCTCAATATTGGGTAAGATCTCTAATGTTTGTGAGTCAGATTTGGCAGTTCCTATGTGTAAGCTCACATACTATTAATGTATTTGAAAGCCTAAGAAAAGTTTCCAAAAAAGAATCACAGCAATTTTGGCAAGACATCCAAACATTATTTTTACTCTTGGGATAGAGTGTGGTGATTTTCATTTAAAAGAAGCATATTTTCTAATATAATTACTCAGTATAATTTATTTGTTGTTGCTGTTATTGTTGTTTCTTGTACTGGCACTTAACCACTAAGCCACACCCGAGGCCTTTTTTATATTCTATTAGAGACAGGTTCTCACTGAATTGCTTAGTGCCTCACTAAGTTGCTGAGGCTGGCTTTGAACTCATGATCCTCCTGCCTCTCAACCTCCTAGCTGCTGGGATTACAGGTTTGTGCCACTATGCCTGGCTACTCAGTATAGTTTGGTAAGAAGCAAAATGTTATCTTTTGCGCAACAGTCCACATATTTCTTGAAGATGTCTAAGCTCAGTCCCTTTCATAGTTAAATTTTTTTTGAATGTAAAGTCTTTTAAAAAATTCATTTATTTATGTGTTGCTGAGAATCGAACACAGTGCCTCATACATGTGAGGCAAGCTCTGTACCACTGAGCCCCAACCCCAGCCCTATAGGTAAATTTTTATCATTTATACTTAAATGTTTAGCTCATGAAAACACACCAATACATTCAAGTACAAAGGATTTCAGACCCAAGGTACTGCATCATTTCTACATATCAAAATTCAAATAATTTCAACCCTAATGTTATAATTCTTTAGTTCCCTCTCAAGACTTCATGATTTTCTGTTAAAAACAACAAAAACTTCTAAGTAATTTTTATTGTTCTCCCTGGAATATTTAGGTCTTTGGTCCTGGTGAGTTCTGCTGTTAAAATATATAACTTCAGCTGTCTCGGTGATACTATTTATATAAATTTATAATGTTTATAATTTTTCAGACTTCTCATTTTTAGACTTTTTGTCAGACAAAAAAATACAAAAATGAAAAAATGTTTACACTATTTGATTTTGTGACAGCTTTCTGCAAATCATATCGTGAACACCCTTGTGATGATAATGAAATTGAATTTCTGAATCAAATGAAAAAGTGTACTAATTGTCAGTGAAAGAAAGAACTCTAGGAAGCATTTAGTAATAGTTTGCCTGAGAGAGTAGTGCCATCGTGAAGCAGAGTTGTAAACATATTGTGTTCCTTTTTTTGTTTTTGTTTTTAAGGAAAATCATTAACTTTGGGGCCTCATCCAGAGTAGCATCGTCTACATGGGCATTCCTTCCTCCTACTGTTTCAGAAAACCTTTGATAACTAATTGAGAAAATGCAGAAGATCTTGCAGACAGATGAAATTACCAATATCCAAGCTTTTAGAAAAGGAAAGAGGAAAAGGACAGAGACAATGGACTCAGAAAATCCAAATAGTGACATGGAAAAAGGACAGGTTGGTTCTCTCTTACCTTGATTCAATTTTATTAAGTAGCTCAACCATAATTCCTTAATTTATCAGTTCTTTCTTCTGTTCTACTAATTTATTCTTCCTTTAAATTCTGTATTCAGTCAAGGGAATGTAGTGTCATGTTCACCTCTCAATCTTAGATAGGAAGAGTTAGAAACATTTGATAATCAATAAGCCTGCCTCTGTTTAATTATGGCCAAATATGCCATTGTTAAAACTTTGCTTAAAATTCTGGGAAATTAAAAGTCAGCAAACTGTCAGAAAACATTTTTTCCTTTCACAAATATATTGGAGAAATTGGAATACCTCTTTCTCCCCGAATCCCAACGCCACCGCCCCCCCCACCCCCGCCTGATACTAGAGATTGAACCCAGGGATGCTCTACCACTGAGATATATCCCTAGAACTTTTTTTCTTCTTCCCCTTCCTTTCCTTCTCCTCCTTCTTCCTCTTCCCTATTCCTCTTCTCCTCCTCCCTTTCTCCCTCCCCCTTCCCCTTTTCCTTCTCCTCCTCTTCCTCCTATTTTAGGACAGAGTCTCACTAAATTGCTGAGGCTGTCCTCAAACTTGTGACTCTCCTGCCTCAGGCTCCTGCGCCAATGTACCTAGCTGGAATACCTCTTCTTTAAGACACACTATTTGCTTTTCTTTTTAGATTTCAATTCGTGGCCCATCCTCATCATCCCATTCCCCTCCTATAAAGTTTGGACAGTCAATCAATGTGCTTATTCTGTATTTTTTTTATTTGTCACTGTAATACATGTATTTGTGTATGACTTTGTAATACATGCAGTTGCTGCAGTCCGGCTGCAGCAAACTAACGGGGTGGGGGTGGGGAGGGATGAGGAACTTGTGTACATTGATACAGCAGGAGTGGGAGCCATTTATTGTAGGACAGGAGGGATATATATACATTACACACAGCTTATCTTAATTAACATAAACTAGATACAGCAGTCAACCAATAAGGAATCTCCACACTTAATGGCTCGCTGGCATTAGTTCACAAACCACTCCCTCTGCAAAATGCCAGGCGCCATCTTGACTTGTTTACAGACCCTAACATGCAGTGTTTTATATTCATATATTTTTACTTAATTTGTTAAATAAATACTCCATTATTATGGTTTAAAATATTTTTAAAGACAATGAAAAATCCTTATATTCCTGTCTCCTATTCACTCTGTTCATGCCCGAACCCCATCCACACTACAGTAACCACGTGTATTGCTTTCTTGTTTATCCTTCTTGCATTTCTTTGTTCAAATAAAGCAAATATAAATAGATATTCTTATCTCTCTTTGGGTCAAAAAAGGAACATACCATATATACTGCTTTGTACTTTGCTTTATTACTTAATATATTTTGAAGCTCTTTCCATTAATAGATAGCTCTATTCCACCGTCTGTGTGCACCAATCTTTATTAGTCCCCTGTGATGAATGGGGTTCTTTTTAATCTTTTTCTTAATGTGATCTACAATGCACTATATAAACTTATATATACATCATTTAGTAGTACATTGATATCATATTATAACTCTTAATTTGTTTCTGATTTTTCCATCAGTATTGCTTTATAAAAATAATTTTTATTTATAAAATTTCAGGTATACAACATGTTGTTATGGGATACATCTAAAAAATAAAAAGGTTACTGAGTAAAACGAATTAACACTACCATCATTTCATAGAATTATTCATTTTAGTTTGTTTTTAGGACAAAAGCAGCTAAAATCTGCTCATTTAGCATGAATCTCAAATATAGTAGTTTTATTACCTATAGTCCTCATGTTATACATCAGATCTCTAGTCTTGTTCAGATCTGTATCCTCTGGTCTAATCTCCTAATTTCCTAATCTCTATTCTTCCTGCCACTGAAGGGATTACTGTTTGTTCTCTGTCACTGGTTTTGTTTGCTTGTTTGTTTTGTTTTAGACTGCAGATGTAAGCAATACTATGTAGTATTTTTTATTTCTGTGTCTGGCTTATTTCACTTAACATAATGTCCTTCGGGCTCATATATGTTGTGGCAAATAGCAAGATCTCATTTAAAAAAATTTTTTAGATGTTGATAGACCTTTATTTCATTCAGTTATTTATATGTGGTACTGAAAATTGAACCCAATGCCTCACACATGCTAGGCATGCACTCTACCACTGAGCCACAACCCCAGCAACCCCCCAATCTCCTTATTTTTAAAGGCTGAATTGCATACATATACATATATACTGTGTACATACATATATACATGCATTATACATATATACATGCATTATACATATATACATGCATATATACATATATGTATGTCTGCATTATGTATATAAATTATGGCACATACTTATAAGTATGGTACATGTATGTAAATAAACTATGGTACACTTATATATACAAATACACATGTGTATATATGTATGTGCCATATATAATATATATTTAATCCATTCATCCATTGATGGACACTTAGGTTCTTTTCATAGCAATATTTTTAGCATCTATCTATATTGCTACATGTACATCTCATCCATTGCATCTAACAGCTGCATGGTACCATTTTTTATTTATCCTTTTCTCCAATGATGACCACTTAAATTTTCCCTAGCATCAATAAAATAATCCCCATACATGTCCCTTTAAGAGACAGTGTGGGCAATGGAGTATTACTCTGCATTAAAAAATGACAAAATCATAGAATTTACAGGGAAATGGATGGCATTAGAGCAGATTATGCTAAGTGAAGCTAGCCAATCCCTAAAAAACAAATGCCAAATGTCTTCTTTGATATAAGGAGAGTAACTAAGAACAGAGTAGGGTCGAAGAGCATGAGAAGAAGATTAACATTAAACAGGGATGAGAGGTGGGAGGGAAAGGGAGAGAGAAGGGAAATTGTATGGAAATGGAAGGAGACCCTCAGAGTTATACAAAAGTACATACAAGAGGAAGTGAGGGGAAGGGGAAAAATAATACAAGGGGGACAAATGAATGTCAGTAGAGGGGGCAGAGAGAGAAGAGGGGAGGGGAGGGGTGATAGTAGAGGATAGGAAAGGCAGCAGAACACAACAGACACGAGTATGGCAATATGTAAATCAATGGATGTGTAACTGATGTGATTCTGCAATCTGTATATGGGGTAAAAATGGGAGCTCATAACCCACTTGAATCAAATTGTGAAATATGATATATCAAGAACTATGTAATGTTTTGAACAGCCAACAATAAAAAATTAAAAAAAAAAAAGAGAGACAGTGTGGGGCTGGGGTTGCAGCTCAGTGGTAGGGCATTTTGCCTAGTATGTGTGAGGCACAGGGTTAGATTCTTATCACCATATATAAGTAAATAAATGAAATAAAGGTCCATCACCAAGTTAAAAAAAATTGTTTTTAAAAGAGATTGTGAAAATTTCTATGGGGTAAATACATAGGAGGATGATTATGGTTTACATATGTATTTCTAGTTCGTTTGACTAAATATTATAAAATTGGTTTTTAGAATGTTCACATCAGTCTACATGCCCAGCAGTAATGCATAATGGGTTCCTATATTTATATTTCCCTACTAACATTTAGCATTAATATCCATTTTTCTAATTTTTAACAAATGAATCAGTGAAAATATTGTTATAATTTACTAGTGCAGATTTGGGGGAACTCAGGGTTGCTGGAGGGGTAAAATAGTCACATGCTCTTATAAGCCAGTTATGTGGTTTCGTCAGCAATTTTTTTCCTCAAAAACCATAGTTTTCCAAACTACATATTTCTATTTGATTTCATTGCAGTTCACTATAGCCAGAGCTCTTATTTGGTCATAGATTTTAGGCCTGAAAACACTCTTCTTTTAAGGCATCTTTTCTCGTCTTTTCTTTCCGATTTATGACAGTTACCTCACAGCCATCTGAAACAAACAAACAAAAAATCTTGAAGGTAACACCTTGAATTTAAAGCTTTTTACTGGGCTGGATACCACTGTCTGCCAGAGAACATATAAAGACAAGCTCCTGAGAAAGCCTTGAGGTTACAGTCTTATCTCCTGCTATTTAGATATGGAAGTAAAAATTTTCCCCAAACCCTTGAAGATTTAACATTGCCAAACTCAGTTAATTTAAACTATCTGCTGCACATTTTTTATGTGCTTGCAAGCTAGCTAGCTCTGACATGAAGTATCTGAAACACACCACAGCTCTTTTTCCAGGCTCTCTAGGCATGTGGTTTGACTTCAAAAGTATTCCAGGTGACCATTTTACCAAAAATGTCACCAAGGTCTAACAAAGTCAGTGGCTTTCCAGCATGCCATACCCTCACCCTTTTTGCCCAGCACTTGAACTTTAATTATTTTAAACATATTTCAAGTTTTAGGTATTCCTACTTCTGTGTACCCATTATGAATTAGTTGTGATATGTGTTACAAAGACTGTAACAAAGACCCCAATAACAATATATAAAATAGAAGTTTATTATTATACAATAGTGAGAGCAGTCTGGGGCTGAAACGGCAGCTCCACAATAATGAAAATCCCTCTTACCTTGTTTATCTACCTTCCTCAGCTTGCAGCCTCTGCATCTAATATGACTACTCTCACTTTCAGATCCTCTTTTTCTCTCAGAAGAAAGAGAATCAGCAGGGGAAGACATGCTCATTTTCTTAGGGTTATGGACCAGAAGTGGCGCACATAGCTTCTGCTCCTATTCTGTTGGCAGGAGCATAGACAGTCAGGTAGAACCCTGTTACCAGAGGAAAAATGGGACAAAAGATACATATAGCTAGTAGTTTCTACCACTGTCCATTTTTCTGTTGGGTTTTTGTCTTTTCTTTTGGGTTTCTTGGTCTATTCTGGTAGGTTTTTTATCCCACTCTTAATATAAATATTTTATCTATTGTAGAAATTAGCCTACTGTGATTTAGGTTTGAGATATTACAAATATCTTCTCCCAGTTTCTATTTGTGTATTAACAGTTATCTTCTTCCTTCCATTGGTACTTACAAATG